AAGCCGGCCTGGACATCGTTGTCGCCGTACATTGTGCACTTCTGGCGGGGGTTGTTCTTGCGTGTGTGGAGTCGAAGATTCGAGAGGGAGAACAGGCGTGTCGGTAGCTGGTGAGTTGCTTGTGTACAGTTTTCAAACAAAGCCACTTTGCTTGTCATTTGAACAAAAGCGGGACTGTCAGCTTTCGTGGCAGCATCATGGGCACTCGTACTCATGTTTTTTCTCTCTCGTCGCGCTAGGGTGTCGTTGCCGAAGGCTACCGGATAGCACCACATGCGAGCTGCCGTGCGGCGGCACTCGAAGGTGTTGGGTAACACAAGCGTCTTTCGCTCGTCCCTATTATACCCACACAAACGGAAGCAGCAGTGCGCTTGAGTTTTGCGAGCTCGCAGTTGTCCATTCATCGAGACTTCCGTAATGGTGAACAGCAGGCAAAAAATGCAGCACAATCAATCAGCACGTACTTTGATGGTGACCTTTGTTCGGGATTTTAACCGCCTTGACGAAGAAAACAGACCAGATTGTCCACAATGGTTTTTCACTGGCCTCAGTTTTTGACAAGCCTGAGGAATAATACTTGTGCGAAACACGTTCCCCCACAGGCGGCGAACAGCAAGTTCATCAGGTTTCTTTGCCAACATGGGGAAGTTTCGAGGGCACAAGGATAAGAGCCGGAGGGGAAGGGAGAAGAAAACCCTCAAGAAGAAGGGCGGGGTGGCTGCTGGGGGAATCCCGGCACAAGCTGAATCGAACGTTTGCGGCGGCGACTCTCTGAGCAGCGGCAGTCCTGGGCGCCAACAACAGCAGCAACAGCGGGAGGTATGCATAGTAGGCCCGAAGCGGAAGCTCAAGCACGTGACGTACGCCAAGGAATACTCGGTGCTTCTCGTCGGAGACGGTTACTTCAGCTTCAAGCTTGGCGTTATCCGACAAGGGGGAACGAGGTGAGTCTAACCGTGCTTCAGGAAGACGCACACTTCTTGCAACACTGGCCAACAACGGGTACTCCTATGTGCGGCGCATGAATGAATGCGCAAACGTGAGCAACCATGGTCTCTTTGGCTCACTTGACGACCTCACCTGATGCAGTCAGGTAACCGTTGTTTGCGACGCTCTTGCTCTCCCTTGACGACGCTCCAAACTCTTTGTGTAACTTCTTTGAAACCGTTTTCGTTCATCGGTGCAGAGCTGGAGTCGCAGCGACGTCCTTGGACTACCAAAAAGCTGTACTCCAAAAGTACACGCACGCCGAGAATTGGCTCCCCAAGCTTGAAACCGACGGAGCCCAGGTTAAGCAAACTGCCTGAGCCGGACTTATATCTGGCGAGACTGTTTGTAGCATAGTAGACATCGAAGGCTTGCAGTCGGCCGTACGTCTGTGTGTGCATCCTTGATTGCCGTTTTCGTCAACTCTGCTTTGGTGTACTGCTGCGGTGGTGAACGAAGCGCAGGAGAAAGCCAGACCAGGGGAAGACTCCGTCAGGCCCACTCAAATCGCAAATGTGACCGCACCGATGAGAATCGGGGCCACGCGGGGACTCGCGTACGGCTTCAGCGCCACGGTCATCGAACTTGCCGTGAGACGTTACAGCATCTCTGCCGTGTGTTTCAGTATCTCTGCCGTGTGTTGGTTGTGTTGGTGCTCTTGCTTGGGCTCGTTTTTGTTTGAAGGACTGTCGACAATATCAACACAATCTGAACGTCTGATGCATCTTGTTCTACAAAGCATTATCATCCTACGTCCGGCCGGTCTGTCCACCGTTTACCTTTCCGTGGTGATTTTTTTGTGTCAGGTTGCACACGCCGTTGACGCCAACAGGCTCGAGAAAACCCTTCTCGGGGCTGGTGGAGGCCAGAAGGACGGTACGGATTTTCTGGAGAAAAGAAACGAACTTTGTTCCCACTGTTTGATATACTCGCAGCAGTATCTGGTCGTGAGGATCCCAGGGGGATACGTGTTGGGAATTTTGTGTTTTGTGGGGTACCACCGGTGCAGTCACGAGGACCCTTTTGGGGTGGTTGGTGCGATGTGGCTTACGTGCGTGCACACTTCTTCTCTCTCCACCGCTACCGCCTTCGCTTTCTCCAATCAAGCTTCCTTCTCCAACGCTTTCTCCAAGGGTTTCTCCAACGCCACCTCAATCTCTCTCTCTCGGCCTAACACGGCCGACTACCCAGTGCCCCAAGTAACGCCCAGACGGGCTTGCTGCACCTCCGCGTAGTTTACCTTTCACACTAGTGCGACATCACGGTATCTGCGCGCTGGAGTAGCCTTCCGGGGGTTGTGCAGTCACGCGCCATCGGTAGACTCCCACAACACCAGACATCATGGAGGACTTCGACCTCTCCGCCCTCAGCGGGGAGGGAGCTACAACAAAAAGTGGAGAAAATAGTCCAGCAACGAGTGCAAGCTCGACTCGAAGCCAACAGGATCACCGAGGGTGAAGTCACCACTGCCCAACCACCAGCCGGCAACCCGGCCCAACCTACCGGCAACCAGCCATCACCCTCCAGCCAGGGTACACCCGTCACCTTCAACGACTCCAGCAGCGTCGCACACATCGTGGCGCAAGCGGCTAAGGCGACAGCTGAGGCCATTGCTGAGCAACAGGGCTGTGCCCGCTCAGGCACGTTACGTGTCAATCCTGGCTCAGAAATAGAACCTTGGCTTGGTAGCGTGAAGGAGCAGGACATGTATATGATGTATGATGTTTTTCGTGGTGAGATGATTTCATATTTTCAGGAGGAGGGTGTTCATGATGCGTTAGAACTGGAGATCGAGGTCAAGGTTGGAAAGAGGGGTGCCAATGAATCAGAGCTTCGGAGTCTTTTTGGCAATGATGTGGTCGACTAATCTTTCAAACTTTGGAATATTCTCGTCAGCAAGATCTTGTGCCCCCCGATTCAGAGTTTGATTCTGGCGTGTGAGTCCACAATAAGGCTGGAAAATAGTGACCGAGTTCGATCAGGAGAAGAAGCAGTCAGAAAAAGGTTGGAGCAGGACTGGAAGGAGTTGGAGATGAAATAGTCGGAGAGTCCACAGGACAATATTGCCCGGGCAGAAGACCTTCGCCTGCGTTTAGCATCTGTATGCACGATTTAGGATGAAACAGGTGCCAACAAAGACATTGCTCGTGGCCTTCCCTCTTCGTATGTCGTGCAAAAAGGAGTACTTCTTGCCCATGATGTCCTGACGTTGCGTACCCTTGAGACTGTGGTGAGGGACGCCCACGTGGAGATGGAGCGCGAGAGGAGCAAGGGGGAGAGGCGCGAGGTGGAGCTCGCTCTCGCCGCGTCCGGCATGGGCCGGCGCGGCGGGGGCAGTGGGGGGGCATCCGGGGGTCAAGACGGCGGTCACGCAGCAGCTGGCGGTCAAGATCGTGAACACCAAGACGGAGAGAAGAAAAAGGGTGACGTGTTCAACGACGACGCCGACAGATTTTGCCGCTACCGCAAGTCCGAGCTTCACCCCAACGAGCAGTGTCGTTTCCAGCAGCAACTGCGGCGCGCGCGTTCGAGAGAGGGCGCCGAGGAACGGGCGGCGGCAGCCGCGGTGGCGGCGGTAGCCAGCGAGAGGGTAGACCGCCGCCGGGGCCCGGCCGCGGTGGCGGGCGATGGGTGAGGATAGAAGAGCAGCAGTGCCACACAGGTCATGGTGGCGGTGGCCGGAGCCAAGCCTCACCCCCCCCGCGACCTCTTCGTGGACGTGGGTCTGGTGGTCGTCTGGGGCGTCACCCGGGGGGTCGTGCGCCCGCGGGACGCCACAGTAGCAACGGTCGTGCCGAGAGAGACGCCGTGAGAGAGCGGGCAGGGAGAGGCCCGGGGCACGCGCGTTTTGGCCACGGAAGAGAGCAGGCGTACGTTGTGTCCTACGCACACGATGATGGTCGCTACAACGAAGACTACGGCGACTACTACGACTGCTACTACTACTACGACGGATACCACAACGCCGGGTACGCCCACTACGCCGGCGGTGGAGGAAGCTACAGCTACTCCTCCGGGTATGAAGACAGCCGTTTATCTGACGGCGGCATCCACTACGTCTACCTTCCCGCCCGCGAAGATTCGTCATCCGAGCAGCCACGTCAGCCCCCCGCCGCGAGCAGCAGCAGCACCGCTTCCTCCTCGTCCTCTACCCCTTCTCCTGGCGCGTCTTCATCTTCGGGCTACCTCCACCTGTGCACGGCACAATCGGTGCCTCTAGGCAAGTCTCACCCCGAAGATTTTTTGGTAGGATAGGAGTGACGATTGGAGTAGAGTCTGCTGCATGGACTTCGTCTTTGCTGAGTGTGGAATCTAGTGAGGGGCCGCCTGGTAGCGAGAGATGGGTAGCTGACTCAGGTGCAAGCAACTGTTTTACCAACAGTAGCCTACACATGTACAACCTGCAAGAGATTCCCGCAAGTAGGAAGTATATCGTCATAGGTGATGGTCGACTGCTAGATGTGCAAGCCCTCGGTAGAATCAACCTTAGCTTCCTTCAGGAGGATGATAATGGCGAACAAACGACGATGAGTGCGAAGCTGACAGACGTATCTGTAGTGGAACGCCTGAATTTCAACCTGTTCTCCACACATGCTGTTTCTTTCAAACACCAAATCCTTCAAGACGAGCGTGGTGCGACTTTACAAAGCGGACTGTTGTTTTCTAGAGGAGAAAGCGTCTGCCGCCTTTGCGATGGCGATTGCCTTACGACCCGTCTGCGATTGTAGTAGACTCTGTTGCTTTGCCCGCTTTCGTGAGTACTCCCGATTCCGCCCCCGGCCAATAGTGCATCGTGTTCCCCTTCCCCCAGCGGTGGCTCGGCGAAATCATGGGTGTCCGTTTTTCGTTTTCCTCCCGCTGGCACTGCTAGCGTAGTACCTTCGAGTGAGAGTGTCACACCCGCTGGTCCCACCAGTGTAGTACCTGAGAGTGAGAGCGTCCCGCCCGCCGGCTCTGCCGACGTAGTACCTTCTTGGGCGTCCGAGTTTGTGTGTGTGGGTACTTTTCCGGGTATGGATCTTGGAGATACGAGTGTGCTCACCGACGAACAGCTCATGGATGGCTATGATGACACCCCGTGTCAAGCGTTTTCCCTCGTGTTTATCCCTGAGACTGATGCTGCGCGTTTGGATGCTGTTCTGGATGGTATTGATGGGGGTGCTGGTTTTGACTTGGGTGCGGCCACGCTCGGCCCTGGTGCGCCTCCCTTTGCTCTTGGTTCAACCGATAGGTCCGTGGACATCAACCGCTTCCACCGTTCCCTCACACACGCTTGTGAACCGCTCTTGAGAGAAACTGCTCGGCAGAGGAGCATCGCTGTCACGGGCGAGCTGGAACCGTGCACGGACTGCCTGAAGGCGAAGGGCAGGCGAGCGTCGGTGCCGCGGGGGCCGGGAGCGCGGGTGTCCAAGCCACTCGGGCGTGTTCACCTGAACCTGTGTGGACCGCTGGTGCCTTCCTTGGGCGGCAACCTCTACCTGCTCGTCGCCGTGTACAGCGCCTCGCGGTGGGTTAAGGTCTCCGGTCTCCGGCGAAAGTCTGACGCGATGGCGGCAGTGAAAAGGCTGCTGGCGGACGTGGGGCGGTACGACCTCGGGCGCATCGGGTGTTTCCGCGTCGACAACGGCACCGAGTGGACCCGTGGCGACTTCCGGCGCTTCTGCGACGACAACCGCATCGGCGTCGAGTTCACCCCGCCTAGCACCCCGAAAAACAACGGCGTCCTCGAGAGCGCCATCTGGCGGGTTATGAAGGTCGACATGGCCGCCCGCCGCAGCGCTGGCCGTGTGTTCGACGTCGACTTGGCCTCCATCCCCGGCCTCGGCCAGCGCGGTGACCGTCTTTGGATGGAATCGGCGAAGTGGGCCGCCGACGCTCTTAATCACTCGGCGACCAAGGCCGATTCCGGGCGATGCTCGCCGCATGAGATGTTCACCGGCGGGCAGAAACCGTTCCGCGTGCTGCCGTTCTTCCAGCTCGGCTTCATGCGCGAGGATCGCCGCACCAAGCTCGACGACCAGGCCAATACCTGAACGGCGGCAATAACCACCCGAGCGGCACCGTCAAGGTCCTCAAGGCGTCCACCGGCCGCGTCGTCTACACCAATAACGTACCGTGGGTGACGTCGGCGCCAGCCGGCGAGGGGAATTCCGCTATAATAGTATCACCGCTGCGCCGACCCCCCCCCGTTCACGCCGGCGACGGTTTTCTCGATCAACTTTGGCCCAGCCCCGACGCGTTCGACCGCTGCCACGCCACCGCCAGCACCCACGCCGTCGCCCGCTCCAGGTCCTTCGACCGCTGCCACGCCGCCGCCTGTGCCCACGCCGTCGCCCGCTCCAGCTCCCGCTCCCGCTCCCGCTCCGCCCTCTGCCGCTTCGTCGTCACCGTTGGCGACTCCCGATCCAGCCCAGCCGCCGCCGCCGCCGGACCCCGCGATGCCCCCGCCTACGGCTCACGCCATGCGGCAGCTACGCCCGGGTAAGAAGACCGAGGGTATGACAGACCCGCGGCTGCCTAGCCACACAAGATCGGGGACCAGGCACAGCACAGGCCTTATTTCGATGCTAGACAAGAACACTCTGGTGTCGATGCTGGAGACTCGGAGCGCGGTGGACGAGGAGCACAGAGAGCCGGGGGGAGCGGAGGCCGGAGAGCCGGGGGGGAGCGGGGGCCGGAGAGCAGGCGGGAGCACGCGCAGCGGTCGACCCGGTGACTGGAGGAGCTGGCTTTCCACTTGCATTTGCCACGCTTCTCGCCAACCGGGAAGACATTGACGCCATGCTGCGAGACCAGCACCCGCCGGAGGAACGCCCTGACCTTCCGCACTGCCAGGCTAGCGACCTTCGTGTTCCAAAGAGCTACAACGAGGCCATGGCGTCGGAGCACCGACACCTCTGGAGCGACTCCATGCGAAGGGAGTTTTACGGCTTGTTGGAAGCGGGGACTTTTACTCCGGCAAAGCAATTTGTGGAGAACGCACTTAACGCTAAGTGGGTATCCGATTGGCAGGCAGATATATTTGGGTGGCCCCCTCAGGTTATGTCGAGACTTGTAGCGAGAGGTGACATGCAGAGAGTGCATTGACTTTGGACAGTTGTAGGCGCCTACCGTTTCTGTTTCGTGTGTTGGGATGTTGGCTGCTTTGGCGTGCGAATTGAACCTCGACCAATGTCATTTTGATGTTGAGCAAAGCTTTTGTGCGTTCGGAGTTGGAGGAAGACGTGTACATGCGCCTACCGCAGGGAAGTGGAGCTCTATCTGGAATGATTGTCAAATTAGGCAAGAGTCTGTATGGCTTGAGGTAGGCATCTAGGCAGTTGGATGCAATGCTGGAGAGTTGTCTGGTAGCGTTGGGATTTGAGCAGTGTTTGGTCGATGCTTGTGTGTTTCGATTGATTTAGGATGGGTGTGTCGTTTTGATCTTGGTAGTACATGTAGATGATATTTTGGCCGTGGGAGAGAGGGAGATATGCGACAAGTTCGGCGCTGACCTTAACAAGACTGTGCCAGTGAAGAACCTGGGAGAGTTGAGATGGCATTCTGGGTGCTTTTACGAGAAGAACAAGGAGACTGGTAGGTTGACGATTTCTCAGCACACTTTCACGGATGAGCTAGCAGCAGAGTATGGAGAGTCGGGGGTAAGAGCGCTCCGATGTCTCCGGGGGTGAAGCTTCTGACTTGATGCGGATGAGGTAGAGACAGACTTTCCGTTTCGTGAGCAAGTCGGATCTTTGATGTGGCTGGCGACTCAGACTAGACCAGACATTGCGCATGCGTAAGGGCAGTAGCTAGGTATTGTGCATCTTCAAAGCTGTTACACTGGGATGCAGCGATAGGCATTTTAGGGTATGCAAGGAGGACGAGTCACTTCGATATTTCATTTCAGAGAGATACGCTAAGGGATTCAGCTTGCAGGGGTACGCTGATGCGGACTTTGCAAGCAAAGCAGCAGGCCGTAGGTCGGTATCAGGGGGATCGTGACGTGTGGTGGAGGCGCCTTGATTTTCCAGAACGAAAAAGCGCGTTATGCTTTCAACAGAAGCAGAGTACGTCGCGCTTCGTGATGTAGTCAAGGAGGTTTTGTTTTTGAGGCAGGTTTGGCGTTTTATGTTGCCACAGGTTGACATGCCGTGCATCCCAATCTTCGAGGGCAACCAGGGGGCGATTCAACTAGCGCTGAACTCATCTCGAACTCGAACTCGAAGCACGTAGTAAGTGTAAGGCACCGTTTTCTCAGGGAGCTGGTAGAGAGGAGGGAAATTTCAGTTATCCACGTGCCGTCGCCGTACCAGCGTGCAGAGTTCCTTACAAGAGTTTGTCGAAGGATGCTTTCGAGTCTCACCGTGATTTTGTCATGAATTTGGAATGAGTATTCATTGTTTTTCTGATGAGGTTGCTTCGGTTTTGTTTCGTCTTCCGCGCCAAGTATAATTCATTACGCACCATGCAGTATTCGTGTTTCTTTGAATTGTTTTCCTCCCGTATATTTTTGAATAATGTTGATGGCATATATTCAGGAAAAGACGTCTTTTGGTTGAGATATCAGGTATTTGCGAAGTTTACAGTGAGAAACTGTTGCGAGCAGGGGGGTTGTTAGACATACTCGCAGCAGTACCTGGTCGTGAGGATCCCAGGGGGATACGTATTGGGAACTTCATGTGCTGTCGAATACCACCGGTGCAGTCACGGGGACCCTTTTGGGGTGGTTGGTGCGATGTGGCTTGCGTGCGTGCAGCGCACGTCCTCTCTCTCCACCGCTACCGCCGTCGCTCTCTCCAATCAAGCTTCCTTCTCCAACGCTTTCTCCAAGGGTTTCTCCAACGCCACCTCACTTTCTCTCTCTCGGCCTAACACGACCGATTACCCAGTGCCCCAAGTAACGCCCAGACAGGCTTGCTGCACCTCCGCGTAGTTTACCTTTCAACCATCGCGTTGTTTTTATCTTCTCCCACACCGGCACCCAGAGCACACACCTGAATCGTAACCTTATCCGAGACTTCTTCGCCAGCCCCAAGTGAGTCGTCGCAGCGGCACCCAAGCCTCGCAACCAGTCAACCAGCCCTAGATAGATATTGGTCTCAGCAGAAACTCGGTGTTGGTCTTTGCAAATTTAGTCGATGGCAGTCTTCGCAGTAAATCGATGCTGGCCTTGGGAGTAAAGAGGCCGGCCTCGGCTGCTTGTCGGAAAACTTGCCTGCCATGCCTTGTCTGACTACGATGGGACAAGAAAACTCGGATGTGATGGGCCTTGATTTCAGCATTTTCCCTGTGAAATGGCGCACACGGCGGCTCATGCGGAACTCGGCCGGAGACGGAGTAGAACGAAGTTTTCATCAATCATTGTCCAAATCGTTTCGTAGGGGTACAGCAAGAGAGAGGAGTAGGATTTCACGCGAGCCCCACACAAGTGGGGCCGAGAGAGGGTGTGGAGGGGGCAACGGGCCGCCGTTTTTTCTTCGTTTTGGCCGTGACATGTCTTTGTCTACGACCATCTCCGTACCAAACGAGCACCCGCGCAATAACGATAACAGTCCACTCCCTTGTTTCTTGGGGGGCAGTTCGTGTGCGTTCAACTCCCGTTTTTTCCCCGAAAAAGTCGCGTGAAGCTCTGCCGCTGTTTGCCTCAATCCCCGCTTTCCTTCCGATTGTCAAAAGGTGATTGGTCAAGTGCGCGGCGGCCGGGGGACAGGTCCACTTTACCCTCAAGGACAAGCCTCCGTACTCGGGTTGGAACGTGAAGTAAGCCGTCCGTCGTTCTGTTGCTTGTTCGCCTTGCTCTGTGCTTGCTTGCTACAGCCCTGGTAATATGATGTCGGAGTGTTCTAAATGTTTTTGTTTATTTATGTAGTTTTCTGGAGCTTTCTTGGTGTTGGACTCCCTTTCGTATTTTTGCGTATTCTGTCAATTTTTTATGTATCAGATTATTTCGTTTGGACAACGAAAAATGTTTCTACGAAAAATATTTCCCAGCTAGGGTATCCTTATTATCATTATTAGGGAAAGCGAGCTGATCATGGTGAGGTGCCTGGCGACCCATAGGTGTTTCCCGGCTACCACCACAGCAAAACCGACCCTCAGGTAAAAACAATCACTGAATTGTAGCTCACTTGTGCATGACTGAATGTTTGTCAAGAGCGCATTAAAGACTGACGGAATTTCGAGCCCGAGGCTAACCGAAGCGGAAGATTTTTTGGCCTCAGGCAAAATGAAGTGACTGGGTTGCAGCGTTTACCACAGGGTGCGGTGGATGTTTCATCAACGTTGAGGAAGTTGTGAAGACGGAATGAATATCGAGGACGTTTTGAAGCCAAAGTGAATGCAACCCGCCCTCCCCCTCGTGCCTTGGTGTCCCCGACGCCCCCCTTCCTTGTTCGCAGGCATAGAAATTCGACGCTGGCTGGAGGGGCCAGGCGAATGGGATCTGCCCCGCGAGATCCGAGCTTGACGACAATGCGAACACTATTGAAATTCGTTCATATTTTCCGTATGCATGTTATCATTCGTTCTCCCCAAAAACCAAGAGCGAATTGAAATGAACACCCCCAGTTTTCATGCCGTTATCCCGTAGCCCAATTCTTGCATACGCGTAGCATTTCTTTTAGTCTAGTACCCTTCCACATGGATTGCTAATCGTTCAGACCAGGTGATGGTGTGTCTCTCGCGCGCTTTTCCGGCGTTACGTGAACGCTGTGCTCTGTGAACCCTTGCCGTGTGCTTGTGAAACCAACCCGGGAAGAAATCGACTAGCTTTTACTTCCGCAGTCGCGAGACGCGTCGGCGCACGATGCCGTATGGCTCTACAATGTTGCGCATGGATTGAATGCTATTACCAGGCGGATGGGTCGGGCGTCTTCCGCGTTATGAGGCAATCGGGGGGTCAGCCTCCTCTGTGAGCGGGCAACCGGTGCGACCGCCAACAACACTGGCAGCAGCAACATTTCCGACGATAACGTGTACGGTAATGACCGAAGCCGTGAAGGCGACAACGTTAGCTCGACAGGAGTGACTTTTTCGTGGGGGGCGGCTACGGGAGCGGGAACCCCGACCGCAGCCTGGGTTCTTGAAACTACGAAGAACGAGAAAGCGAAGCCATAATAATTGCCGCCTCGGAGGGTGTGGGCGATGACGCCTGCAGCAGTGAAAGCGGCGGCTGTGTTGATCGGGCAGCCACCGACGCTAGCGACAGGAAGAACCAAGGGAAGAAGACAAAAAATAACAATGAACACGGCGGTGGCAGCGGTGTCTGCCAACAAGGCAAAGTGTACCAAGCGAAACAAGGGAAGTACGTTCTTAGTTTTGAGAAGGAACGGCCGAGAGATGGATTCTTCATTGCGGCCCCGAAAGGCGGTGATTCGTTTTTCATTCACTGCTGTGGCTCCTTGTGAGGGTGTTCTATATTTTTGTGCGTGATTGAACTACACAAACCCTTGCGATAGATACTACAAGCTGGGAAAAAATAGTCTAAATAACCAACCGAGCGCAACTTGGTAGCCTTGCCGTGCCTCGCGACGAGCGAAAAGATCGCCATTTAGACTCCATATATTGTTGCAGTGGAGAAATATGTTCGACTTCCACATCGATCGATCGATCGATACTTCAGGACATGTATGTAGGTCAAGGCCATAGTCTACGTACGTACGTATGAATGATAATCGCCAAGTTGTTTTAAGTTTCTCTCTCTTGAGAGAGTGACAGGTGGCAACAGAGATGGCGGTATTTAGCTAACCAAAAGCAGAAGTAGCAAATGTGAGCCGCGTCGTGTTGCTGTCACTACTGCTGCTGTGGTAACAACTCTCTCTCTGTCCTTCTGCCATTGAGGGTAGTCTAGTCTATACACTTTTGCTTTTCTCTTTCGCGGCGCCATCTGCCGTTTTCTTCGCTGCCCCCCCCCACAATTTTGTATGGCCTCTACGAGCTACGTGTCTGACCCAGTCAGTTCTTGAAGCAATTCACAGCAGTACGGTTGGTTGCAAACGCATTGCGGGCATTTCCAACATGCCACGAGAATCAACGCGTGGAGGACGATGATTCATCGGCTTGAGCCTCATGGGCGTGCAATTGTGAACATGTGAACGCGAGCCTTGACAGGTTCAGCACGGAGGAGCTCAAGAAACGTGACGAGCCAACTTCCTACTGCGAAAATCCGGAATTCCTCAAGCCCGAGTGCTCAGACCGCCCGCAGTGGCGTTACCGCATCTTAACAGTGATTGCAGTGCCATCAAAAGCTAAGATAAGTCGGCCAGTCCTTGGTCATGATCGTTCGACGATTGTGAAGCTATCAGCAGTGTCTGCCGCGCGATATCCAAGTAACAACCACTGAAGCGGCATGGGCAGGGGGAGGGGTTAGGCTGATATCTCTCGAGACTGTGCCTCGAATGAACACTTGGTGATCACGCCGGAACATGCCTCTGTGGCGCATGACTTAAATCGTATTGCGAGGATAAGAAATGGCAAAATCAAACCGGTCTCCGTTCACAACGAGCTCAAAAATGTCATTCCTCGTTTCGGCGCGTCCTCTGCTCCAGGGAGAGTGCGGCTAACGACATCCATTCCCGAAGTCAGGTCTTGCGTAAAGCTGGGTATTGCAACGGTTCTTGCGCTCACCCATCATGGTCAAAATGACGTAACTGAAACATGCCATTGACTCTAGCCCAGCAAAATATCACAACGCGATTGGTTATTGCGCACAGCTGAGTGGACGATTCCTGCTCACACCTCCATGAAATGACGTAACTGAAACATGCCACTTGATTGTTTCTAGCACAGCACGCTCTCCTAGCTACGAAATATTCAGAAGCTCGATTGAACTCTACTTTACCTTTTTTGTCCAACAAACACGCGCTACGAGTGCTCCAGGAGCCAGAAAAAAGCTGTACTACCGGTTTCCTCGTCCTGATGTGACCGCCGCGGGTGCGTCAAATCTACATACCGCCATGTGTAGAGACTCGTACGCCCAGAACAAATGCGACGAAATCCCACAAACGCACACAACACAAAACACGACAAGAAACGAATAATATTCACGACAAGGAAGGTAACCCACAAATGTAACAAAAAGATGGATAATCAGCCACAGCACAACAACGCGCCCTTGTCGAGATTTTGAGGCCGAATGACAGCGAATGCGACATATAGGACCTACACTTCGAACGATATAAAATACCACAACGTTTTGAATAAAAGAGTGACAAAAAAGAGACATCATCGTGCCCAAATGTTTGATGTGATAACATGAGAATGTAACAAGTCCGTCTGTCAAGTCAACTGACGCAATCTCCCCGATATATGTGGTGTCGTGACTTCATGACTCACTAGTAGAACCATACCACTGCAAGTGGTATCAACACATTACGACCGACGGCACAAGCCTCTACATTCCGGGTGACGATCAAACGAAAGACTGGTCCATGGATCGATTTCCGGCGAGTGAGTAAGCCATGCATCAGAAACGTTCAGACAACCAAGCCTCCATTTACTTCACTCGCTGTGACGACAACGGGAGCAGGAAAAAACATCTAGCCGAACCCTACACTCCTAGCAGCCAGCAACAGCGTCCTCTGCCGTGTGGAAGGAGCCCCCGAACAAAACAATCTGATCGATCTGGTGCCCGTGCGAACGGCCTCCGATCTCCATCTCGTACTCGCCGGCCGCGGCAAACTCGATTGCGATCTGAGTGTGGGCCCCGTCCTCATCCTCGGCGGTCCCCTGGTACTTGAACACGCCGTCAGCGGCGTTACCGTACACCTTCACGAAGGTTCCATAGCTCTTGGAGGTGTCAGCCGGCCCGAACCTATCTGCGTCCGGGAAGTTCAGCCAGCTGTCGTTGGCCTTGTCGCTCTCGACGCCGTCAGGCTGGCGCATGGCCCACTTGAACGAGTAGGTGCCCGCGGTGGGGATCTGCACGCTGGTGGAGATGATGTCTCCGTCCCCCGGGTCGCGGTTGTTTTGGGCCTCAGACAGGCCTTCCCAGGTGATGTAAGCCCCGCCGCTGGCGGCGTTGTCCTGGACGATGCGCCAGTCACCGTTGACCGGGAGATCTTCGGCTTCGATGATGACCACCATGCAGTCGCTGCGCAAGGGAACGCCAACATGGAGAGAGGCATCGTTAGGAGGACAGGGCGGAGACAAAGGGCGAACGAACTACATAGTTTAGAGCCTATCGCACCTGAGAAAATAGTTGGGGGAACTGGTTACCCAGGCAGGTATGAAACGTGTCCCACGTATGTGCCATGCATCTGATAGGCCACCAGACAGTACCTGGAGCAACACTTTAAACGATTTCGAAACAACACCTGGGAGTGCGCGACATGCGAGCTGTCGTTGGCATGTAAACCATTAGCAACCCGGAGAATACATGCTCGGGAAGCAGGCCCCACTCACTTGGTAGGTGTGGGCGCGGCGACCGGTTTGGGTGTGGGCGCGACAACAGGTCCGGGTGTGGGCGCGACAACAGGTTCGGGTGTGGGCGCGGCGACCGGTCCGGGTGTAGGCGCGGCGACCGGTTCGGGCGTAGGGGCGATAACCGGTCCGGGTGTAGGCGCGGCGACCGGTTCGGGTGTGAGCGCGGAGACCGGTCCGGGCGTAAGGGAGACAGGTCCCGGTGTGGGAGCGACAGGTTCAGCGACTCCGTCGAACTTGAACAAGTTGAACGCGTCGAATCCACCTGGGACGAGGGTAACGGCAAGGAAGGGTTGGAACGATTCATGTCTGCAAGGCTCGCACTCGTCACCATGCATGGAACTTCACGCTCAAACGTACTTGTAGATCACCACCTGGAAGTCTCTTCCTGCATATCCGGTCTCGATGACTGCATGCACATACCACACAGAGCCGCTTAAGTTGCCGGTTCTTTCTACATCCCATCTCCTAATCTCGCTCACCGCACGCAACCGTAGGGTCACCGGAGCAGCCCGCGAGACACGATCCCCGCCCGTGCCTCTTGTAGTCCTGTTCGTCCTCGGACATTCCGCACCAGCACTCGTCGCCGTACTGTTGAGCCAAGGGACGAACAAGGGCCAGAGGCGAAGATCGAATGCAACGGAGGAAAACACTGGTTAGCCACAAGGTGAAGGTGAAGAACACAGGGAGTTGTGCCACGGGACGCGACGAATAGAAATAAGGCATTTATAATCAAGAAGAAAGAGAAACCCGAGCGCCACGAGTGCTCGCGCATCAAAGAGCACGAAAATCCACCCGTACACGATGACCCCACCTGGGTGGCGTAGAAGTAGGCATCGCGTTCCTCGCAGTACGTGCGGCAGACGGTCTGGGTCATGTCGGGCTGCAACTTGATCTCGTCGCCCAACAAGCGGTCTTCCCGGTCGTCGGCGAAGCACCCCACGTACTCGTCGCCCGTGGGTTCCGTTGGTTCCGTGATCTTGTACAGGTCTGGATACCACGCCGCAAGTTCAGGGGGCGCGGGGCGCAAATATTGTGTGTGAAGGCGACCCGCCCACCGTACGTATGTCATACTACGTGAGAAAGAGCGGGCCAGCTGTGCTCTTTCCAGGTAGCGAGAACGGTCGCCCCCATACGAGAGACGAAAAATAAACACTCACCGAAAGCGTCGAAGCCACCGCAAATGTCGGTCGCTTCCCCGCCGCACTCGCAATCACACACGCCATCGGAGTGGCGATCGTACTCGATCTCTGCGTCGACGCTGCACCAGCACTCGATTCCGAACTGGGTAGCCATGAAGGTAGCTCGCCTGTCCAAGCAGTACTCGAGGCACACCTGCGTAAAGAAATACAAACCAATCATCTTATCCGTAATTGGTTGGGGCCAAAACGAATATGCCTTTCGTTCTGTACATACAAAGCCTGACTACCACAGTAGTCGCGATTACCGAGGGGCATGGCAAGGGACATCAAAATTGACAATGAAGAGCGAGCTCGGGTGGGAGAAGAAACACTGGCGGAAGAGTAGCCAAAGAGCGCATTCAAAGTCATGCGTAAACTCACCGCGGTGGTCATGGTTGGCGAAGTCTTCATGTACTCGAACACTCGGTCGTCCTTGCTGTCTGCAAAGCAACCGACGTACGAGTAACCCTCCTCGGCGGGCATGGATACGGGCATTTCGTATACAGGAGCAGCAACTGGTTGTTCGGGCTCCGCAGTGGGCTCAGGTTCACGAGTCGGTTCGATGGTTCGCGTCGATTCGGGAGTAGGCTCGGGAGTCGGTTCGGGGATTGACTCAGGCGTCGATTCGGGAGTTGGCTCGGGAGTAGGCTCGGCAGTCGATTCGGGGGTTGACTCAGGCGTCGATTCGGGAGTCGGTTCCGGTGTTGGCTCAGGAGTCGGTTCAGGTTCAGGGCCCGGCGTGGGTGTCGCGGGAGCCGTGGAGGATGTTTCGCCTGTAACGGAACAGTGAATAGACGTTCAGAGGCATGCGGATGATTCTGCCGAAAGAAATCGGACCCCCCGAAACGCCTCGTCCGATAACCTCTCGACCAATGCACAAGAGCGTTGCAAGCAAAGCAAGTGCAAGGAGTAGAAAGAGGAGGTTATCCATATGGCAACTGCGGGTAGAGCATGGGTTGCCTGGGGATCATCAATCGCACCGTCGGCCACCAGAGTGATGTCGGAGCAGCCGAAGAACACGTTGCCCCACTTCTGGCCTTCGTCGCTGCAACCGGGATTCTTGTGCGGCAGCCAATCCTCCTTGTCCGGCGCGCAATCTCCCGGCCACTCCGGCTCGAACTCGTGGTAGCCGGGGTGGTGGCACCCGACGTACGCGTCTGGCAAAGGTACAGGGATGGATGGGGCATTAGTAACAATTGAGTTAGGCTCGTGATACACGCAACCGAAGCTGCTCTCAAAATGCTTAGGGACGCCGCAGGGGTCTCTTGTGCGGTGAGCTACTTAAGGTCGACAAGGGGCTGAAATGGTGACGCCAAGCACATTGTTCTCTGGGGAAAAGGTCAAAAAGTTTCCGAGACTGACTTCCAGAAACTGCACAAAAATTGTGGTATCGTTCAGGGCCGAGCTACGGACTCACAGTACTTCATCTGGAGGACGCAGTGCTCGCACTGGATGTTCGGCAGATGGTAACGTCCAACATTGATGTAGCCCTGCAAAAGTCGAAATTTTAGGAACCGGGGGAGTAAGTTCGAGAATATTGGCCGCGGCCCCTGGTAGGTGTTTCTCCCTGGAAAGGCAACAGGTCAGCACAGGAGGTACAAAGAGTATCTCACGCCGCACGCCCTTACCAAGTCCCATATGAATAAGGACATCGCCTGCTGGCTGTCAAGAGCACAACCTATCGTTGTATGATAGCCACTTCCCAAATACACCACCTATCGATCCGGAAGCCCTTATGCTCCAGGCCCCCCTCCCCTCCCAATTGCACGGTGTTGTTGATACTGATTGAGTACACTCGCAGCAATCGTGCTGCTAGGTATGCTCTGGTTATGCGAGTCCGTTCCAAACAGGACATTTTCCAAGATAAACAGGGTCCTCACATTGTCCAGGCCAACCTCCCCGTCGTTGAGCATGGGCCTGCCTGTTTGGTCGGTCTCCCCCGTTTCACCCCGGCACTCGGGGTTCACGAAGAAACGCCCAGGGTAGTCCGGGTCGATGGGGCTGTTCCACCAATCGGTCTCGTCGCGGTCGAGCGGGTACATGTTCAAGCAGTCTTGGGTCACCACGCCGTCAGGGTCGTCTGATATTGGGTGGAAGAAGGTTGGGGCGGGGAAGAGGACTCAGGTGGGACTGGCGTCGCAGTCTGGCATACATTTGCCGTCTTCAACAGGGACAGCAAATAAGCTCTCACGAGCGCATCTACGATGACTGGCACCGTGTGTCGGCTAACAGCAGTGTCTTGTCGATATGGCCTATGCTAGTACCCGGACACAAAAACTTTGAGAAGGCAATGATGCGCAGCGCAGGTCAAGGAGCCTAAGCCTCCGAATAAATTGACCACCCAGGAACGGACTGATGCACGAGACTTACCCATGTCGGCGGTGTCGCACAGGAAGTACTCGATGTGCCCCTGGTGGTTCCGGGAAGGGAGGTGCGGGCGAGGATTACGGGATGTGATTTACAAAACGTGAGGCTCGTTCAAACTCACTCCGATGACTGCTGTTGCACTTAGCTGGGGATCGTGTGATTGATTTCAGCGTGTTCTGCCGTACAGGCTGTGATGACAGCAATTAGTGTAGAACTCGGGACACTTTTCGCACCGCCCCGGTGAGAATGAATTTGCAAAATACCGCTTGTGCGATCTGTCAAACTCCACATTTTCCAGAGACGTTTTTGCCTCATCTGTCAACCAAACATCAGCTGCACGAGACTAGGGGCTTGACTCATCACATCACGGCGTTTCTTGTTTCCAGCGGCGTTCGCCTGAGAGCCGGGGTGCTAAGCTGGATTGCTTGTAGGCATGTAGGACGGACTCACCCAATGGTTGTTGTTGATGACGGCCTTGAGCTCGATGATGGATCCCGACTGGTAGGTCGAGATCGGAGGCCAGAGGGTGTTCGGGGTGCTGTACGTGTTCGGGTTGTCCAAGCCGCCCTGTTGTTTTGTCCGTAGACAATAGGTTTTGTTTGCGGGTCATTGCGGTAACATGTCAAGTTCATTGTACGGCTGAAGCATAAAACGAACGCCCCTCGAGAAAGTGTCTTATGACATATCGAACACGACATGGTCAAATCGCAATTACAATGCTGCGCCAAGGCATTCTGTGACACACTGCTGTCGTAAGTAGTAATCAATCTTCGTGCGTTTACCGTGTCTCGCTAGGAAGCGATCGCGTCACTGACCTGAGGAGGGTCCCCGCACACGCCGTGTCCGACGGCGATCTTGTCGCTCTCGAGGTAGTTGTTGTTCGGGCACCTCTCCCCCTTGTCCCACGCCGCCCCCACGATCCAGACATCGCCGCCACCGTAGTCGGCAAGGACGTCAGGGTCGATGTTGTCGATTGTTCGAGCCTGGACCGCGTCCGCACCTACGATACAGCGCAAGGATTCGGCAACGACGCCGCGAGTGTGAACGTGTGGACCTTCCATCCAAGGGGGGGAGGTGACGACAAGTGGTCGGCGATGTACGAACTTCGCGAGTCTTCTGTGGGCGATAATAAGCTACGGTGATGCATGCCGTGTACCGGCTATCTCTCTTATCGAATGTGTGTATCCGGCGGGCGTCCACAGAACGAACTGACGAATGCAGGGCTATTGGAAATCCACTTGGCTGAAACTGGTGTAAAATAAAGAACATTGATTTCGCCGGCATCAGATCTTCCCAAGCTATCCAATGCATACATTCAGGGCAACTTACTGCAACAATTCCAAGTCGAATGATGCGCCATATATTACCTCCTCCGTTGAAAGATCCCGCCCATTTCTCCACGTAGTACTCATCGCTGCGTGTGTCGTGGGCGGGGTAGGGGAGGAGGGAGGAGCAAAACAAAGGAGGGAATTGTGAGTACAACTTGTGTGTATAGTTTCTGTTTACTTGATGAATATTACATCACCTACTAGTATGTCATCAGGAACAGAACGGCTTTTCGGGCGTCCCGGAACGAACATTTCATTTGCAACATTTCGTACCGAAATGCCGAAATAATTAAGACGTGTTCGATTCAAAGAAAACCATCTGGCCATGAACACAAGGTGTGCTCCAGCACTTCAAATTCTTCGAACACGGCGTGATTTTTATTGGGGGGAGCTGGCAGGCACATCCCCTCCGCAGCAAGTAGATGCTGTACTCAATCATCTCGAATCTTTCGCATGTGTGGTAGTCAATCTTTGTTTTGGTCCCGACGACATCAATCTACCGTTCCGTTCAACAGAACGGCCGGGGGCTGGGCAAAAAACTTATCCTCTCGAACATGTTGCTCGTGCTGCTGCTGAACCCCCCGAAACGCTGTACTGGTTCACCTGTAGGTAGGTAACTGAGGTCGAGCACATACTCAAAGAGAACAGCGTGCGAGATCCGCACGGCTGCCATTGGCACATGAAATTGCGACATCGGCATGCAAAGATCCTATCGCCAAGAAAGCTGTGTGCCATGATCGTTGTTCGCAACGTGTTTCGCAACGTCCCCAAATAAACCACAAGCGAAGCAAGTAGAGGCAAGACTAGGCCCATGACGCGTACGCGTAACTCCTGAAGTCGCTTGTCGACTGGAACAGCGGCAATAGCTGCAGCGCATGGATCATCATCTGTGTGAGTGTCCCTCACCCGTCATTAAATTCCTTTGATCGCAGGTACTGCCGGCTGATGGGCTCGATGACGAAGCCGTGTCCTTCGACGGCAGCTGGTGCCAGCATGCCAAACACTGCCACCACCCCCATCATCCCCGGTGCAAACGGAGCTGGAGTCATCGTGCCAGGTGGTCTCGAAGACTGCCCTTTATCAGCGGTCTCGCGGTCTGTGAGATGGATTGGTGCGAGGGAGATGAGATGGTGTGAGATGGCTGTGGGATGATGTGGGGATGAGATATGCGGACCAACCGCTGACGAACCACAAACGAACAGAAAAATTAACGGTCCTCTGGTCCTCTCACACCTGGCAACGGTCGAGCAAGTGTCACGTTCCTCAACGGCGAATTTCGGAACTTTTCAGCTGCCTGACTGCTTGTCGAGAAAGCTCTACCGGTCGACTGATTACTGCACCAGGCAACAGGCCGGGGTATCGCACACATGGGTGCAGGGATTGTGCCGGGATGAAATGCATCTATTGCTGTACTGGAGCAACGCGTGTAAGAATGTGCTACCGTTGGTTTGACGGTGAAGCAGGTCCACGCCTCACCTACAACCTCCGGCCGCTCCCTCGCTCATGGCGCAGCGCATGAGAGCAAAGGGAGCAAGCATAAACTATTTCCAGAACACCTGTGACCACGGAAATTGGCCGAGTCAAGTGATGGATTAGTACGGAGAGATTGAGACAGAAGGAGGTACTGGATAGAGAGACCGGGATGGTTTTTAATGTGAAGACAACAACAACAGAACATGGAAAATGGTGTGATGACAAGATTACCCGCTCGATTGTCTTGGTGGTGGTGTTGTTGTCTTCACGGTCTGATCTCTCAACCCAGCAGCACCTTCATCTGTCCGTACCAGTCCACATAATGCTTGACGCAGTCGATTCCCGTGGTCACAGGCTAGCTTGGGTGCAAAGTCTAGCACCACCACTCTTTCTGCTGTGGAGTATTCGAGCTTTGAAAATGGGTCCAGGGGGGGGGTGGTATCCTGTGCCACCTACGGTATGTAGTCTACATATATTCACACAGCAGTAGACCCTCCGCTCGCCTTTACCATACATGCTGTGCGAGGGAAACATATAGACCGAGTGTCAGCATCTCGGGCCAAGATCAAGGGTAGGTAAATATGTCCCTGGTTCAATCTTGCTTGGTACCTCGTACTTCAGAAAAAGGGGCGTTCATTTGGAACGGAAGAACAGAACAGTTGTTTTCTCTTGGCGGTTGGTGGCGTTCACTTGATGAGGGTGGGTCCTACGTAATTTTTTCAAAAGTCGAACATCGAACATCGAACAAGCGGATAGTTAGATGTTCGACTTTTCTGGTCCTTTGTATTTTGCGAAAAAGCGTGAAAAAAAATCCCACACACACACGTTTTTGCGTTCAACAGCCCGCGTTGTTGGACCACGCCCGGAAAACCCAAGGGCACTCGACTCTCGAAAAGATACGAGTGTCGAGGAACAGGGACGGCGCCAGGAGGAGGAGCACAAGAAGCAGCCCCACCAGCAAAAACAGCACCGGTTGATAGTAGCTAGCGCTCGAAGCCGCGGGGTGGAACCCCGGCATCCCTTGCGGCCTGATGCCCACATGCATTGCCGCGGGACCCTGCCGACTCACACCAACACTGCTGCAGCTGTTTGGCTGTCCAGCAATGCTGTATGGTTGCGACGGGAAGGAACCCCCGTGTGATTAACCTCACACCTGGCCCCGTTTGTGCACGCGGGGCCCTGGGATCCAGCGCAAACTCGTCGTCGCTCTGTGCAGACATGGGTATTGCTGTTGCTGTCCTGCAAACCTCTCTGTCGTTCTCCCTCTCCCCGAGATTGTGTTTTTTGGTGGTGTGTGTTGGGTGCACGTGCGTGATGCATTCGTGCGGGTTTTCTTTTTTGTCGCCAATTTGGTCCCAATAGCCCACGGGACTGTAGGTTAGGTTAGGTTTTCGAGTTTTTGTGGAAAGATGTTAGAGTTTTAGGCGGAATCGCCCCTGGAAGATCCGGCGTACAAAAACTCGAAAACCCTAACATCTCTTTGGGCTGTTGGACCTTCCTGGCCAATCACATGATTACACCGCTTGTTCGATGTTCGATGTTCGAGTCCAAAAAAATTACGTAGGACCCACCCTGAGAGAAACAAAGACAAACTGCACGACGTGTAGTCTAGTCTATGCGGTTCTTTACTGTTTCCCAAGGCAAGGAAGATACTCTGAAAAAGTTCTGGTTCACCCCACCCAAGGGTACATACACGCGGAAATTCCGGACACGTAGGCCACCCCCTCCTCGCTCCTGGAGCGGGAAGAAATTCGAAAAGTAAACACAGGTAAATAGGCTCCTTCACTGACGCTATGGATTCATTGCTAATAAACTGTCTTTGGCTCTCAGATAGAGATGGTCATGATAAGCAAAAAAAAATAGTACTAGACTACTTGTATTAGACTACAGTACAGGGCCCTCTATAGTGCCGGTTGGATAGTGCCGGGGCCCGGTACAGTGCCGGTAAAATTTCTGGACACAGACAGCGCCCTCAATAGTGCCGATCCGGCACTATTGAGGGAGGTCCCGTTATAGTGCCGGTTGGGCGCCGCTGTGCCCCCCAATAGTGCCGGTTCACTACGGCTGTGGACACACACACACAGCAGCAGCAGATGAGAGTGGCAACGGAGACGCGGCGTTCTTCCTAACGAAAGCGAAGATGGCGATGATTGCAGCGCATTCCGCTGAGCGGGCGCGCCAGGCAGACATGAGAGAGTTTGTTATTGTTACAGTTGTTGTAGCAATGGTTGTTTGCTTGTCTTCCGGTGCGCTTCCTGTCGTGCTTTCCTCTTTGTTGTGTGTTTCTTGTAATTTCCAAGGCNACACACACACAGCAGCAGCAGATGAGAGTGGCAACGGAGACGCGGCGTTCTTCCTAACGAAAGCGAAGATGGCGATGATTGCAGCGCATTCCGCTGAGCGGGCGCGCCAGGCAGACATGAGAGAGTTTGTTATTGTTACAGTTGTTGTAGCAATGGTTGTTTGCTTGTCTTCCGGTGCGCTTCCTGTCGTGCTTTCCTCTTTGTTGTGTGTTTCTTGTAATTTCCAAGGGGGTGCGCCAGGCAGACATGAGGGAGTTGCTGCTGCGTTGCGAGGGCGGCGGGCACAGCTGTGGTGGGTAGCAATAGTTGTTTTTTTTTCTCGCGGTGCCCTTCCTGTAGTGCTTGTGTTCTTCGGGTTGTTTTGATTCTTTCTTGCAACATCCAAGGGGTGCGCCAGGCAAACATAAGAGAGTTAGTTGCTGCTACGTAGTGAGGGCGGGGAGAATATCTGTGGTAGTATGTAATGGTCGTTTATTTTTCGTGCGGTGCGCTTCGTGTCGTGGTTCTCTGTTGTCTTGTTTTATCTGGCAACATCGAAGGAGGGCAACGAGGACTTATACGCCCACGGTAATACACACATGTTCGATCCACGATCCACATCGTACTCTGTTGGCCCCGCAAAGCTTGATTGAGCGCTGCACCATGAAATCAACACCTCCTCAATAGTGCCGGATCGGCACTATTGAGGGAAATCCGAAGCCTCAATAGTGCCGGTCCGGCACTATAGAGGGCCCCTTACTGAATACTGCCGGTGCCCGGTATAGTGCCGCTTTGCTCTCTGAACACATACCGGCACTATAGAGGCCCCCCTAATGTATGAGGTTCGTTGCAGTAGACTAGCAGTAGTACTGTAGACTTGATGGGTGGCAAACAAACGTGCCTTACTCTCGTTACCCGTTCTGCATCTACCTCCTCGTCATCTATGCCGGCCCATAGTCTACTCACCCAGCTGGGCTACATTGTACTACATACAGAAACATACGGAAACAAGCAGCCTAGTTCGCGTAGCGCCGAAAATCTACCAATCAATGATGTACACAGCAGTAGAAGTGGTTACAGTACATAGTATATCGATCAAAGCTCGAAATAATCAGTCCAATTCAATCGGAACAGACAGATCATTGACCAGCTTTCACATTGAACTACCTGCCTTGCAAAGTTGCCCTTGCCGCCTCCTCTGGCACTGCACAACTGGGAACACAGTCTCGCAAATATTTTCGTTCGTAAAGCCTTGGTCTTCTTGTAGGGTTACGTTTGACTGGTGGACCAATCGACCACGCGGGCGACTGGCGGGCAATAATAGCGGCTGCTCCTGGGGGATGCATGCGAAGATAGCCAAGATGACCCTGTTGTGCGCGGGGTGCCTGCCATCTCTCGGGGGATCTCCCCAGCTCCACAGCGCCGGCATCGCCAGCCAGTGGTGATGCACACCATGCGAGAGCGGGACGCCAATCAATCAAAGCACCGGGGCCTCGGCAGAAAACCCGGGGATATAAGGGTATATCTACCCACCCCCCCGCCCCCATAGGACCCCGAAGTGCCGACGCTTCATCGGAAAAACCGGGGATACATGGGGATATGTCCCCCCCCCCGGTGTTTGCCATCGGGGTTGGGTTTTCGTCGCTTGGCAACGAGGTTGTCAAACAAGGGTGTGTTGCCATCGGGGTTGGGTTTTCGTCGCTTGGGAACGACGTTGAAAAACAAGCCCCCCCATCAGTGTTTGCCATCGGGATTGGGTTTTCGTCGCGTGGCAACGACGTTGTAAAACAAGCCAAGTCACTTCGAGAGCTCGGCAACCAGGTTACCGTTTTTTTTTTTACCACTGTTTCTGTTTTGGCGGTAATCATAATGGTGGTCGAGTGGATCATGTTGTGCGGGGTCGAGAACCCTCACCCCGCGCAAGGGGGATGATCGCACCACGTTGTGTAAAAATGGTCAAGCACCCACCCCGCCGAGGCAGTTACCCAGTGCTTACAGCTGCTGTCTCTGGAAGCGAAAGCACCCAGAAAATAAATTATATCACACGCAGCTGTCATCCGTACGCAAGGAAGCAAGCACACGATGCCGAA